GGCCAGTAACCAGGCATTGGCTGACTAATGAACACACTGAAGGTTTTCTTCTAGTCAGATCTTTTCAGCTGATGAGCTCCCAATTTATAACAGAATTTCTCGTAATTGATGTAGTTGCTTATTAGCACACAACATGGTACATTTCAGCAAGTTTCTGCTCTTTGGGTTTGGAAGATAATCCGGTTCTTTCTACATGATGCCTCAGACTCTGTTAATTTTAATTGAATTTATTAAAGCTGCTTTATTTTAGCTCATTTTCATTTACTTCACTTGAGTCTAAATTAATAGTTAGGCTTCTAATTATGTAGCACTATAACCAACTCAGCCTGAGGCATCAGCAATGTCTATTTGTATTTTCATGGCTGTGTTTGCATGCCTAACCCTCTACCCCCATATTTTATGCATACTCTGAATAAGATGCCATCAAACATGACAAAAGATTATGTGATGAACCATTCAGCTATAATGTTTATCTAGATTGAACGCTGTGTAAAATAAATTACAGTTCGCTAAAGAAAATGAATCATATTTTACCTTACACTAAAAATTGCATTTACTTCCCAAATCAGTCATGTTTCCCAGGGTTGATGGATAAACTGAAATCTCTGCTTGTGTTGGAAAGTAGAGACAGATAGCTTCTGCACTAAGTTATTTCTGTCTGTGGAATGATTCCTCTCTTGAAAGAAGGCCCAAGGTGTATATATATATTTTTTTTGCTGTGCTTTCTGCAATTTCTTTCTCTCATAGTTGTTCTGTTTTCATCGAGTATTTCTCAAGAGTACATTCAATCCTCCTGGGGGGTAAGGTGAAGTGGCAGGTAGCATGATGCCTTCTGGGTTCTTGTCTGAAACAAATCTGCACAAGCAGCCAGAGAAGGCTTTCTGAAGGAACTTAGTACTTGAGGCATCTTGCCAGCAAGTGTATTCTGTATAGAGAGAGTGTTAAGGGACTATTCTTAGTTATCTCAGGTCTGTGTTGCCCCAAAGCTCATGTCTCTTGAGAAATTCTCTGCCAGTCACTTAAAAAAAATTGGTGTTATTGTTTTGGGTTTGTGTTGTTTTGCCTTTGTTGTTTGTGGTGGGGATTTTTGGTTGGTTGTTGGGGTTTTTTGTGGTTTGTTTTTTTTTTTTTGTGGGTTTGTTTTTTTGTGTGTGTGTGTTTTGGTTTGTCTTTTTTGTGGAGCAATTTATATCTATGTTTGAACAGATGCCTGTGGTTTCAGAGAGGAATTTGCCCATTTCTTACTTCTTGTAGTGTCAAGGAAATACAAAATCTTAATAGACATTAAGTTTTCTGGTATTCAAATGTCAGGGCTTGAACTAAATTAATTACTAGACCTGTTTCTACTTCTGCTTATCTGTCTCTCTTAGAGACTGCTATCAGTAGAGGTCTGATGTTTGCAGTAGCCAGTACCCTAAAAATATATTGGGTAAGTCTACTCCTGTACCAACATTTCTGTGCCTGCTTCTGACTAAACCAATTCATATTTAATGTCTAAGTAACTTGTAGAGTATGAGCTTTCATTCATTCATGCCTTGCAAGCCCTAGAGATATGTAAGAATTACTTTTTTTTGTTCTGTGGGAGACAAATCATCCTGTATCATACTGAAAGGTTATTTTTTAATTTTTTTTTTTTTTCCTGTGAAAGATATCTTAAAAAACCCCACCCAAAATGGCAACCCCCCCAAAAAAAAAAACAAAACAGGCAGTGGCTGGTTTGTTTTGTTCTGTTTTTTAACTGATAATGGCTGCATCTCTAAACACTTGGTCACCACTGTGCAGGAGGATGATGGTCAAAATACTTCTAGGTAGGTTTTTACTTTGCTATTCTTGCCATTTTTCTTCACAATGTGGAGTATTAATAGAGTATACCTACCCAGTGAATTGGATGTTAAATTTTGCTGTCTTGCATTCATTTTTTTCAAAGTAAAAATAAAAAAGAAGACAGAAATTTCAAAGGCAAAACTAAGATGAAAGACAAAATACTACTTTACGTTTTTAGCAACAGATGGAAATCTTGACTAAGAGAACTGAACTTTAAATTACATCATAAAATATCCAAGAGCAAGTTAAATCACTTTCTCATTCAGATTTTATTTGAACGTGTCACATAAAGCACATATTTTCTACTATCTTAAATTAACCTATTGGTTTAAAAAATATCCATGTCTTATGCTGTTTTATATGACTTCTCTGAGGGATGAATATCTGAATTTTTTTATGCTTCCTGGGAATCTATCATCATACAGGACTTTATAATCATACAGGATTTTATGTCCTAATAGTCATGCATGCAAATGTTGCTGGTTGCTGTGGGAATGTCGGAAGGATCTCACAGATGCATCTCAAGGTGTTACAGCTGATGAAAAACAGCTCCTCATGGACTGTCACTAGGAAACCACCTGGCTGGCCTCTTCTTCTTGTGTTCAGACTTTCTCTGGACATTCAGACCTTGACACTGACTTTTGCTAGCTCTCCTCATGGGTCTGAGGTCTTTTGTAACAACTCTGTCACCATTAAGCAACTAAAAAGTCAACAGATAAAGAGCAAGTTTCAGGTATGAAATGAGAAACGTCCCATTGTCAAATAAAATTCCAGAAATCACTCTCCCAAGAGACAAAATAGGGACAGGAAAGTGTTTTCCAGACTGATGAAAAAACGCACACTTTTCTCAGTTTCTTGACGAAGTGCACCCTGGCTTGCAACAAAAGTTTGGCTTACAATGAAAGTTTTGGAGAACATAAAATGGTAATAAAATCCTGTCTCCTGCACAATAAGAGAGCAGGAAAGAAAATGAAAGAAATTATTTATCTCTATATTTAAGCACTTGGGATGCAGACAAAAGCAGTGAGCTGCCATGTAAACTGAAAAATCCTGATATGTGGAAGGGCATCATAATCATACCCAGAAGAAAAAGAATATGAACATGTGAATGGTACATAATGCAATAACAGCCGGAAGAAAAAACCTGTTTATGTGAAAATAAGTGGGTAATGACTAAATTTAAGGCTAGAGGCTTACATTTACTTGTGCACAGGCTTAATTTAGATGGGATAATTCATGTGGTGACCCCAGTGAATAACATGTAAATTTTAGTGAGATTGAGCCATGTTCAATTTGCAAATCAAAGTACTGCTCAGAAATGTTATCTGATTTCCAGGTAGTAAGTCCATGAACTCCATTACTTGTTCCTAAGTAGGGAGCCAGTGTATATTTTTCAGATCAAGAAGTTACTAAACAAAATCTATATCACTATGTGGCTTCAACTGAGCTGTCCACTTTTGGGAAAGTTGTAACATGCCCACAAGAAAAAATGGGGTCTGATGACACAAGAAAATAATGTTGTCTTGTTCATACATTCAGTGTGTCCAAGATGGCTGCTCTAAAGCCCAGTGTGGATTCAGGGTTTTAATTAAGCTGTTACCAAAATATAGATATAACAGAACTTCCTAATAATAAAAACAGAAACCTTATTTATTTTCCTGAGAACATAAAGTCCCACAATTTTTTGTATCTCCTGCTTAGGAAAAAAGAGGTTTGTAATACAGATAATTATAAAAAAAATTTATTCAGTTCTTGTTTTGCAGGGAACAAACTCCTTGCAAAGGATCATAATAATAAAAAACCCGTCCTATTTAAACTGACTCCAATTACATAAGAATGCAATTTTTTTTTTGCAGAGAGGAAACAAACAGACTTGCCCTGCAGCTTGTTACTGTATCATCATAAAAGCACTTTAAGCTGCATTGTGGAAAAATGAACATATGAAGTGTTTATATAATCTATCCGCCTGCTGAAAAAAAAATGCTGAACCTGTGTGAGGTTCCTCCTTAAACTTGAGAACCATGTGATGGGAGGATGCCCCTAGGGCTGGGGTAGGGGGTGCTTGGGGTGTTGTGCAGCAAAGCTCTGCCAGATGCCTGGTGCTCCTTGGACCATACAATGACTTTACAAGACTGTTTACAAGTTTACCATCAACAGGTAGTTTTTTTTCAAAATGTAATTTGAGTTTTATGGTTTTGCTTGGGACTTTTTCCAGATCTGAGATTGTCTAAAGATGTGGATGGTTCCCTGTGTGATTTAAGTGATGTGGATGAATTACAGAGGGCATGAGCCAGGGAAATGCTGCTGTGTGGGCAGTGAGATTGATCTGTGCTGATGAAGTGTCCTGTATGGGTCCCCAAAAGACCAGCGAAGGCCTTTGTTGCAGAGGTATCTGAGGATCTACACACACGATGCGCCATGGGGGCTGTAAGAGGCTGGCAAATGCTTTGTTCATTCAGTATTCCAGAAACAAATTACTGCCTGGATGTGTCATGTGGCAGCCCTGCAGGGACCCTGGGGTGCCACCAACATGCCAAGGTAGGACAGAAGGGAAATATGGGATGGGAAGGACGAGCTGCAGGGATGGTGTGGCTGGAAGGACTGGCATGGGCTGAGGGAGTGGGGCCAGGGGAGGTGGGAAGCAGTAACCCAGCCCTTCAGTCCTCTCTTCTCTGGGTATCACTTCAAGTGTCTGTGTACAAATCCCACATATAATTACATAGAGTGATGGTGATGTGTTCTCATTGGAAAAGTGCCAGTGTTCTCATTTTAAGTAGAGTCCTTACTCTGTAATTATCTGTAAACACACTTTATCAGTTATATGAACAATATGGTATGGGTTTCAGTGACTGCTGAAAAATAGAGAGAAGACTGACTAGACACCACTTACACTGTTTTTTGCTGTGCAGAGTACACATACATTACAGCGTGCTTGAAAAGAGGGAGCCAAGCTGAGGCCTTACAACAGTGGCATGCAAACCCCTTGTACTCAGTTTGGCACCAGCAGTGTGCAATTGCTGAAGCTGCAATGCTGTTCCAAAATCTGTGTGCTGCTCAACAGCAGCAAAGGGCAGGTTCTCAGCAGCTAGTGTCCACTGATGGTGGCTGGGGCTTCTTGGGGACCTCTTCTTTCCTCGATACAGGTCCTGGAGTGGCTTTGCAGAGCATAGCTTGCCCTAGATGTATTCTGGCTTGGACAGGACCTGCATCTCCTGCCCTCCATAGCTCCTGTCCCGGAAAGTTCCCCCCAGCCTCCGTGTTCTTCTTTCCCTACACAAACTAAAGAAAATAAAGAAGGGTCAGAATTGAAACAGGTGGTCGGTTTAGGGGCTGCGTATGTGTATTCCCTCCTTTCTTAGGAGGCAGTGAGAGTGACAGTAAAGGAGTGATACTCGAAAGGAGGGCAGAGGCGGTTGTTGAAGAGGCAGTAGATGAGGGGGTTGATGGCGCTGTTCAAGGCTGGGAGGTTCTGAATGATCACGGATGCATAGAAGCGTTCTTTGGTCTCAGGGAGTACATTGAAGTTGTCCAGGATATCGAACAGAAAGTAAGGGCTCCAACAGAGAACAAACGCTGGAAGAGAGACACAGAGAGGGAGAGTTTGACATTATACAGCTTAGCTGTTTAGGAGGGTGATCACAGGCACATAGAGAACGTCATAACACATAAATATATGTTCATGCAAAAACAATCTCTCCTTAAGATAATAGTTATTAGATTGTGCTCTTATTTGTATTTATTTTAATTCCTATAAAATGTATTGTGTGCTCCTCTAAGTGTTTAGAGTGCTCCCTCTAGACATATCAAGGCACTTTTCAACGTTACACAACACATAAAGGGTAAGTAGGTAGCCAGTTAAAGCATCATCAGTTATACCAAAGTGCTGTTTTAATGGTCCCCTGAGTGAGCAGTCAGTGTAAATGTACACATCACCAAAGTGCTGCTCCGTGACAGTGCTGCCTGTCACAGCCACCGATTAAAAAAGGGCTCTTAGACATCCAGGAGCAAGGAATTACACCTTTTCACACCACATTAGGGCAGGCCAACATGTAATTTGGCATGCTGGTTGGAGGTGCTCTGTTTATGGAGCAACTGTAATTCCTATACTGTAGTTTGAGGGATGAACTTGAGGAAGGAAAGAGAGGACTGCATTGTTCATAGCCCCTGTTTTTGTTCAGAGATGGTAGAAATAAAGAAGCCACAGGTTTACCTTTATTTGCAGACATAGGGAATGAATCTGTCCCTCAGTTTTCTTTGTCATCTCCTTTCACAAGGCCTTTTGATTAAAGATTTACATAGAAATGCTGGGACAGGCAGTTCACTCAACTAAGTCCTAAGCACCTGAGTTGCAAATGTTCAGGTATCTGTGAGATTAGACACAGAATCTCTCCCTGACTCAAATGAGACAGCAGGGTGACCTCATGCTTGCTTTCTTGTTGCTGCAGTCAGTATTTCCTAGTTAACGGAGCACTCAATCAATGTGCAAGGAAGAAGCAAACTCCCCTTCTGTTTCCCAGAGTAACCAAACCAGCAGCATCTAGGCACAGATACCAGCACAACAGCAATATCCCTTGTCAGTGTGCAGATCGTAGCACTGACTGTGCAGTACTTCAAGCGGCTTTAGAGAAATTTGTGCCTGAATCTGCATGTCATCAGATGCTGGGTGCCTAACATTATCAAGGTCCTTTGAAATACTGAGCATCTAGGTGAGCTCTTGACTTCTGATGGCATTGTGATAGTAGTAATTTCTGACAAAAGCTTTCTTTGATTGCCATGCAGAAAAGTTCAGACATCGAGAAACTTTTCTTGGACTTCTGAAAAGCAGGAATCACTCTGGCCTCTCTTGTGTCTGCAGATGCTACCACTAAACAGTGAGCTAAGCACCTCAGTAGTAGCTATTATCACAACGTCAGCCACTCAGAATTTTGTGTAGCATTGGAAAGAGGAGCAATCTCCTTTTCATGGGGGATGGATGTCAGCCATTGGGAGTAAATAGCTTGTTCACCTTCCTGCCTACCTCTGACAGCTGATTACAAGCCCTGTTTGATGCTGCTTTTCTTTGTCAAGATAGAATGTCAGCCTCCTCATTCCATCAGAATAAGGCCTTCTGCCAGGGATGTGAAAGATACCTTCAGTGAGTCATCTGCTGCCTGGTCAAGAAAGGAAAGCTCATTCTTTCCACCCTGGCAGGTGACAAGCTTTTGACAATTGTTCTGCATCCCTTGCCTCTCCTTCCTCTCCTTTGCACTGCCTCAGCACCTACCATGCCATACATAGTCTCTAAGCCTAAAAGACAACCCAGTTGCAGCTCTTCCGGCAACCTGCGTGGGAAAGAAATGAGCACTTCCTTTGTTCTTTTCGGGCAATGTCCCTCCTTTATGATTTTTTATGCAAGTGGAGGGCTGTGCATATAATTATGTCAGGTGCCTAAATTAGGAGCTTATCAGCCAGAGGAGAGAAGGAGGACTAGGTTCAGGAGGCAAGTCAGAAAGTCCAAGTAAAGCTTCTTCTCTGAGCCACCTACTCTACATTGCTGATGACAGGAGGTGCCGAGGAAGACCTGCTTCCTAACATCAGCATCCTCCCTAGCTACCCACTTTGGGGCTTTTCACTTACCAAGGATAATGACGATGCTGTACTTGATTGCTTTCACTTTCGCCCTGGATATGAACCCACGACTGGTGTAACCAGCAGAGGTTTTGCCACCTGGGGAAAGAACAGTTCAGCTGGTAAAAGAGCAGGGGTGGTGTATGGATGTGTCAGTGCGTATCTCCACAGGCAGGACAGTGGATACGAAGCCCACCCTTCCTTGGTGCCAGGCAAGGCCTCAGTTGTTCCTGAAATCTGGCAACTTGCAAGCCTGCTTAAAACATGAGCCACCCAAAATCAAAAGGGGATATGTAAGCAGAAGGACTGTGAAGGATTGTGGCAACTGGGTTTTCCTGGTCCTCAACATTGAGTCAGGAGAACCACTGCCTGGTTGTCCAACTGCATCAGTCTAATACAAACCATGCACCATCACAGCTACAAAAATGCGACCAGAGGGTTGTTCTAGGAGACATTTTCTGAAAGAGAAGAAGCAACCTGTCAAAACAGACTAACTGTTCACTTTTAACTGCATTTCAGTCAGAAAAATTTTTGAAACTGCATACTCCATTCCCTTCAGCTCTTACTCCTTTTTATGCTTTTGGATAATCAGTCACGCACTTTGCTCTCCATGTTGGCTCAGAAATGAAATATGAAATCCTGTTAGACTAGCTTTTCAGAAATGAAGTGTGGCTTGAATTGAGAAGCAAGTTTTATTCAGTCTCACACCAAAGCTGGTTGATCTCATTTTCTCTGAAGTCATACTAGTGCCTCTGAGAATCAAGATCTGCCTTTGAATAGCAGTACCAGAAGGATTGCAATCATATGCCTGTACTCACTACTAATGTCAACTTGCTGTTCATGTAGCTGGGTCAGAATAACTACGTTAACCACAGTGAATACACAAGCAGGTAATTTTTTATCTAACCATATTTAAGCTCTTGTAGTCCAAACTTAGGACTGAAGCTTTGATTAATCTAATCAGAAATAACTCTGTGTACATGACTTCTTGCACCTCTTATAAAAACAGCATATCAAGGCTGTGTCATTTACAAAGAGGTAAATATAAATAAAATTAATCTGGGGTTATTATAAGTGAAACATACCATGCATAAACTTGAAATTAGTCCATATGCTATTGTTACTGGAAATCCCTTGGAGCCTTATACACCTCCTGAATGAGAGGAATGACATATTTTTTCAAGACCAGTAAATGCTGTTTGCATTGTGAAGGCAGGATCATTAGCAATCAGTACCACTCAAGCATCTCAAAGGAGGAGTAAATCTTTTATTACAACAGACAGAAGTCAAGATATGACCCAAGAATATCTGAATATGTGCAACATTATGTTAGGACACTTCCCCCTGTACCAGACATGATCCGTGATCCTGCTTCAGGCAAGTACCAGCAACATGATTCCTGTGGTTTGGTGTCTTTCCACTCACCACTTGGCTGCACTAGCTGGTTGTGTGCTCTTATAGTCGTGTTGTAAAACATAAATGAACATACTTTTCTTCACAACTAATAGGCAAAGCAGGTGACAACTGAGGATCTTGAAATGAGTTATGCTCTTTGCCCAAATAGCTCAGAACAGTGAAAAAATTAAGGAATCATAGAATGGTTTGGGTTGGAAGGGACCTTAAAGATCATCTAGTTCCAACCCCCCAAAATGTTTATGGTCTTGGGACAGAAAGCTCAGCTCGTTTTGTGGCTTTCCAAACCCAGGTATTTTTGAGCATGACCAAAATCCAGACCTGCAAGGGAATGTGAAAACACAGCAAAAGTGTTATCTAAGTATATACTAGGAAAAAAAGAAATCTGGAAAAAGTGCTAGGAATAAGGATTCTAAGTTCTAGAGTATAGAATTTTGTTTTTTAATTCTTTTTTTTGCAGATTTTTTTTCTGCAATTCTCTTAAGGGAAATTAGTGCCAAGAAGGTAAACAACGTAGGAAAGAGTTTTGAATGAGCAATTATAAAAACCTGATTCCCAATGTGGTGATGGGCCCCCAATGCATCACCTCATGTCCAAGTATTCTTGAATCTGGGGGACTGGTTGTATTCAAGTCACGAGACTGAAGACGTGTGCTTAGACTCACCAGGGCAGCTGGATATGATGACAGCATGAGTTTTGCTCTTCATCCAGATGGTTCGAATCACGATTGAGTATATGACGCTACAGAAAGGAAATAGTATTTCATACTATGAGGCACAGTAAATTTAACTGACATCCCAGTCATTTGTGCTCTATTAATACACTTATTTATGTGTAAGGAGCTCAAAGAGATGATGGAATTCCATGGGAATAATAATAACAACAACAACAATGAGAGTTTTCACCCTGGAAGTTGCTATCATTGTCCTGGCTTTGCTGATGTCAAATCTGAAGCTCAGAGGAATGAAGTGATTTGGCCAAGAACTCACAGGCAAGATCTTGCTGAGGATTTTCAGATAGTTTGAGGCCAAATGTGCCAGATACCAGCCCCAGGACACTAACACTGAAGTGGGGGAAGCAAGGGCAGGGACCTAATTTTGCTGCATATACGCTTCTGTTCTGGTGTTAATTTGTGAGTATGAAGATGAAAAATAAAATGGTACCCTGGGAAATTCTGCAGGGGCAAGATCCTGAAATGCAGTTAAATAACATGGTGCTCATGTTCAGGTCTCAAAGTCCTGGGGAAATCGAGGAGGACAGAAGCATCAGGTAGATGGGAAGAGCTAGATGATTAAAAAAAACAGGTCCACCACAATTTGCCACATTTAGAGGGGAAAATACATACACTTCTAATAGGAAAGATGAAAAGTGCCCAAGTCCACAGTTAGCTCCAATAGTTATTACCTTTCCCTAGGGGATAACAAAACTGGAATTACATTTATTTAATATAAAATAGGTAAAAATAATTCCTTCAAGTTGAAGAGCTGTTTCTACTCACATCCTGGAGGAGGATGTTATCTTTTCTGCAGTTTACCTAAGAAAAGTATGAGGTCTTGATCTGTCTGCCTGTTCTGTAAGCGTGCGTAATGCACAGCTACAATCACTAAGCAACAGCATACTTTTGACTGCTGTTTTCCTTTTTAGTCTGCTAAGGAAGACAAAAACTAATGTAAAAATATTGCAGCACTCATGTTGCCATGTTTTCCTGATGTAAAAACCAAGCATCGTGACAGAAGTCATTGTGTCCTGTTTGCAATACATCACAGTGTTCAGGGGGGGCTGGGGCATCCTGACCATTAGTTGCCATCAAGCTCAGTGTTGACACTGTGAAGAAAGGTGCAGCTAGGGAGATTGTTTCAGGGTGTTTTGTAGAGGCAAAATGTTTCTTACCATCACATGGTTTATTTTTATTGTAAGAAGAGTCATTATTCTTATTAGAGCTTTCAAAAGGATATACGGGCCCTTCCTACAAAATCCTCAATAGCTAGAGATGCCTGCAAAGGCAGTATTTGTGTGCCTTGGAGGTTTCCTTTCTGTGGAAGTTTGAGCCATCTTACTCCCAGGCTCAATAGGTGAGAGGTGGTGTTCAACATGCATCCTGGGCTGTGCACCAGAGCAGTAGTGTACTTGCACTGTGAGGGTTTTGCATCTGCTGTGGGTTCCAACTTGCCCTCAATCCCTTCAAATGTCCAGTGTGGCTCCCAGCTGACAAACATTTTTCTTTCATGTCCTGGCTTTTCAAAAACCTGTTTATATGTAATTTGGTACACTCAAAAATTCCTTTGTACTGACAATGGTGGAAAATTCATGTATAGTTTCTCCCTTTGATAAGAATGTGTTATAATGATAATAGTTGTCATTTCAGGAAAATTTCCAGCTAGCTCTTAAAACTTCTGTGTCTATTTTCTCTCCAGCCTGCTATCTGTAGCCTGACCTTTTTATTTGCAGTTGAAATAACAGCCCCCCTGATGTAGACCTGCGTGTGTCCAGCAGGATGCTTTCAGAGCTGCTGAAGCATCAGGAAGAAGGAGCCTACCTCCACAGTAAAAATATTCAGAATCCCTACTTGTGTCAAGTGCCACAGGGATTGAATTATGAAGTGAGGCTCCTCACTGTCTTGCTCTCTGACCCCAGAAATCCTGCTCCCTTGGCTGCAGTCTGGAGGAGCATCCCTTTTGATGTAGTTATAGTGGCTGTGTTCACTTGGTATTCCATGAATGAGATTACATGCCATTTTGAATCCTTACTTTTTAGAAATCCAGGGGAAAGTTTAATTCCCAGTTTAATTCAGTGGCTTCTGAAGTGCTGCCAACATAGTGGATTCGCACTGGTGCTTTTGCCTCTGTCTTTCTATTCTCTATAGCTGGATCTTATTGGGAGAGGACTGGATGTGGTGTAAAGCTGCTCAGGGTGGATGTCAGGAAAGAGGAGTCACTCGCCACACCAGGTACACTTCCCAATGACCATTTTGCCAACAAAAATTATGCTTTTACACTCTTATGCTTTTACACTGAGACTCCAGAAGTTATTAGTGCCTAATCTTTTTATTTCCCCAGCTATGCTGGCATGGAGCTAGCAAACTGGAGTTTCCAGAAATGTGTCATCTGTAGCTTAAGATAGTAACACACAACTGCTTGTGTGTTTTAAAGCCACAACAATAAAAGGAGAGCACTTATGGACCAGAAGCTGTGTTGTTTTGGTTAGGTTTTGGTTTTGTTTTAGAAGGAAAAAGCAGTTATTTTTCTAGAATGCATTTGTAGCTTCTTTCTTTCTGTGAGAGGTAGCTGGGGGATGATATGGTGGTTGGTGACATCTCCAAAGGGTGAAAAGAAACATGCACTGGATGGAAAATGAAGTGGTAGATGAGCAAAGAGTAGAGGGCGCCAGATGACAACTGGTGTTCAGATGGACAGGAGGGCTTTTGGCAATAGTCTGCACCATTCTGACCATATCATAATCCATTTTCTTCCTCTTGACATCAAGCTACTCAGCCTTCACTGCTGAGAAGTAAGAGCACAGCACATACACGTGCACGGCAAACCTGTCATTGCCACAACCCTCATTTTCCAGAACACGTAACATGCCTGCATGCTGCTTGCTCCTGTCTCCACTGAAAGCACCTGGAGAAATGATGTATAGTTCTTTAGGTCCACGTGTTGTTAGATTTTTTGTGTCTGTGTGTAGTGCACTGGTCCTCCAGGCCTAAATAAGTATGCACTGTGGTCATTTCCAGGCATACTAGTGTATTAAAATATTCTACGAGTTGCTATGGCCCATTATTTCTATGGAAGAGACTAAAGAAAGGGAAGAAAGAGCTCATGAGGAGTAGTCAAACCTGGATAGAATAATCCAAGACTTTTTGAGAATGAGCCACTCAGGCTGTGAGGACCACAGAACAGAAAGGGCATGATGTTGATGTGAAAATGTGGTGGTTTTCCTAGCCCTGATAAGATGTGTATCTGTAGAGGTGGCAGGAAAACACAAAAATATGGTACAGACTCTGGGTGTAACTCAGCACATTAAATTCATTGCATCTCTAAAAGCAATTTAGCCTGATTCAAACCTGAAGGACTAAGATTTGTGTTTGTTCTAGCATGTTTTTTGTTAATGGTGTTGTTTAATTTGACCCCATTAGTAATTACAACATTCTTTGTCTATGCAAGTTACTAATATGGCTAGTCATACAAATGCTACTTTGAATAGTACCATTCCATCTTTACTTTTAATTCCTAGATCACTTTCATTTCAGAAAATAAAGTGTCTCTGGGTAAAGTTATGTATTAATATTAACAATCATAAGAGTTATTGATGTGCCAACATTTTTTAAAACAAATGATTGCAATATGATAACATCCCACCCAGCTTCCCTATTTATTAGTAAAATGAGTCTTTACAATGGGAAAAAGTACACTTAAGCTCCCTTCTAATTGCTTGTATTTATCACCCAGCATTGTCTATTGTTCCCTGTACTTTCTGTGCAACGTGATGCAGCTGTGTTTTATGGTAGCTGATTTACAACTCTATTTATCCAAACACAAAAGGCATATGCAACTTCATATATATGGACCATTATAGGCATGTGTAATGGGTTAGTGACTAGACAGGCAGATATTAAAACATATGTGCAAGATCTAAGCTTTGTTATTTAGAAATAGAAACTGCAGGCAAAATGGTTGTGCTTGTTGAATCAAGCTCAAAAAGTGATTTATGGTATTCTAATATTATTTTTTTAAAAAATCCCTTTATTTGATTAAATTCAGACAAAACTCTTTTTTTTAATCTATTATTTTTATTTCATTGCAATACCTTCATTTCGTTTCCATACTTTTCAGCTGATTCTGTTTTTTCCCTTCTAATTATTTTTCTGCAGCTCCAAAGCAAATGTTCTCTTTGGAATTTTGTTTTCAAGCAGCAGATGGACATATTTTCCTCTGTTTCAAGAGGAACTTCTGTAATTTTTTTAAACTTGAATTTGGAATTATATTAGAAACAGTCTATGTATTACATTTATCACTTAAAATATAGAAAATATATTTGGAAATCTTGAATAACAGAGAAGATGATTCTGAATTGCCAGAATAGAGTTATGTTTTGGCACAGAGTAACAACACAGAAGAGAAGCCCAGTAGCTCTCCTGTCTCCCCTTCACAGGACCTGAGGGGGCCAGATGCAAATATTTCCAGGTGAGAAGGTTGTAATTTTGATTTGACCCATATTTAACCTCCTTTCAGCAATGACCCAGAGGTACTCATACTATCATAGATACCCTTTGAGCTTTGGTTGGCATACCTTCTTGTTGGGGAAATGATTTTGCTTTTATCTGATGACACTTGTCCCAGAATAAGACGAGAACTAATTACAGCAGACTGCCTAATTAATTTGTCTGAATTTTCTGGGGCTTGGTAGGCTGATGATGTCAAGTGCAGAAAAAGTGGTAGATTAGTCTAAATAAGAGAGAAGGACAGGCCAGACTTTTAAGTGTTGTAAAGAAGAACCTGACGCGTGATCCAACTTACACTGAGATAGCTGGGAAGAGGGGGACTTTTATATGAAAAGGACAAATACTCTCCTCTTTTCTCAGCTCTCAAAAACAACCACACACTTGGGTTAAAAATCTAGTCACAGCTTTTCATTCTCTTTTTATTATTCAGGTCTTGTTCCTTTATATTGTAATTGGATAAAAAACTCGCTACAAAACCACAAGCTGTTTGATAACTGATTGCTGATTCTCCAGTTGTGAAGGGGTGGTGAAAACAGGCCTCCAAAGTATTAACATTTTTCAGAGCTGTTGCAGTTTTGTTCATAGATTGCCTTTTTATAGATGAGTTAAAAAAAAAAACCCACAACAAACAAACAAAAAAAAAGGACAGATTGTTGTTTACTTCTGATTTGTCTTTTGGCTTGGAAGCTATAGGGTTCCTCACACCACGTCTGGAGGATTAGATCACAGGTAAATGGGTTTTCCAGACTAAGCATAAGGTTATCAGCTAAATAATTAATTTTATGGGCCGTGGTGTTATGAAAATCACAACTCCTGTGAGTTAGTTGAAGCCTGTGTCAGGAACATGTGAAATCAGCTTTGCTGAGACAGCTAAGGGATGGATGAGAGAAGCTTAGAAGATGGTGGTACCTGGACTGTAGCAAGTGAAAACTATTCAGCCAAAGCAGCATATTTAGTGCGGAATTAAGTCCTGCACCTGAAAAGTAAAATTTTATCCTCTGTATGCACTTGGAATGAATTGCACCAGGAAAAGTGCTGTCATCAGTGAACTGCTTTGCTCTGGAGGTTAGGCTTCCAGCAGATTCAGGTGGCAGAACTAATTAAGAATTAACTCCGCCAGCCACATTGTCCCACATTGTATCAGGTACCTGCCATGCAGCTAAATGTGAGTGTTTCTGCAGAGAAAATAAAAGCAGCTGCCCAAACAAAATGAACTATTACAGGAAAGGTCTTATTCTTACTCTGTGTGCACCCTGCCTCACGTCCTCAGTAAGTGTGGTGTATACCTTGGCTCCTGGTTTATTTGTGTTCCCAGCTTCTTAGATACTGATCCTTGACTTTTCAGTCGCACATTTATGGGTTGTCTCTCCATTGTTATGTTATGGCCTTTCCTTAATAACATCCTCAGTGAAAGGCCATTAAATTTAAAAAAAAAAAAAAAAAAGGAAATAACCCCCCCCCCCAAATGCCTTCCTTCTTTTACTAAATAACACCTATCATTTTTATAATTAATGTTTTCAACAGAGTAGCACGCAACTAGAGTATACACATTCTCTCTCACTCACCTTTCTGAAACAGCATCTTGTTTGTCATCAAATCTACCATGTGTCTGAAAGTATTTGGTGGAACAAAACTTTTGCAGAGAAATCAAGTCCCTG